ACATGCAAGCACGTGCGCTTGCAGCAGCTCAAATAGAAGCAAAGCAAATTTGAGCCAGGGCTTTTTGCCTCAGCACATATGCTTGGACATGCACTTTGTTGTGGAACAAATTGTGTCACTTGGGGCAAAATAACCCTGCCTGCCTCCTCCCAGATCTGCAGCCAGGGGGAGCTAGAGCCCAGGGCCAGCACCTGTGCTGTCCCCAGCTGTATAAAAAGCCACCCTGGCAAGTAGGTCATGGATACTTGCTCTCAGGAGCTTCTGGGGCCCAGCCAGTTGGTACCTGGGGACACTACCCCTTGTGCCAGCTGGACTGCTGAAGCAGCCCTGAGAGTTCTCTGCACCCTTTACCCTGTGCAGCAGTCTGAAAGTGGGGGGCTGCTGCCTGGCTGTGATCTGCTGTGCACCTGCCAGACCCAGATGAGAACTGCACAGCCAGTAGAGGCATCTGCCCCTCTGGGCCAGGTGGCAGTGGGCTGTGGCTGCAGAGTTGGCCTCTGTACGTCACTACTGCCATGTGTGCCCCTTGCCCGGCCATTTGGGCAGCTATCACCTGGAAGATGTGAGTGCCAAGAGACTCACAACATGATAAAGTAATACATTAACTGCAATCTGCCACTATCACTGAAACTGCTGCAGACCTGAATTGATCTTCATCTGGTAGATAGTGCAGATGTCACACAAAGAATACTATAGAGTTTCAGACCTAGTGAGTTTAGTTTCCAATTCAGGAGTATAAATTTCCAAAGTGAAAAGAGGGACATCTGTAAGAGGGTGATTGCCTTCTGCATCAAAACTGAAACACACAATTTGGCTGCTCACAACAGCCAGTAGCAGATAAAGAGAATATTTTTAATTTATATATGTAGTACATAGAAAACAAGATGGCACAATCTCTTTCAAATCTATAGTTACAGCATAAACACAACAATGAAAAGTTGGGTGAAAAGTATGGCCTGCTCCTCCTCTCCAATCAATCTTAAATTTGCTGTATGTAACTGTTCCCATTAACTGTTTGTTTTGGGGGGGGGGGGGG